TCTCCTGCTCCTGCTAATAGTCTCTCTCTCTCTCTCTCTCTCTCTCTCTCTCTCTCTCTCTCTCTCTCTCTCTCTCCCCAATGTTTGCCACTTCCCACTCTACCAGTTACCTTTCCTTTTCCCCCTCCTCCACCTTTCCTTTCCCCCCTCCCACACTTTCCTTTTCCCCCTCCCCACCTTTCCTTTTCCCCTCCCCACCTTTCCTTTTCCCCTCCCCACCTTTCCTTTCCCCCCTCCTCCCGACTCTTCCCCTCCTCCCGACTTCCCTCCTCATCGTGCACTCTTCCCTCCTCCCGGACTCTTCCCCTCCTCCCGGACTCTTCCCCTCCTCCCGGACTCTTCCCCTCCTCCCGGACTCTTCCCCCCTCCTCCCGGACTCTTCCCCTCCTCCCGGACTCTTCCCCCTCCTCCCGGACTCTTCCCCCTCCTCCCGGACTCTTCCCCCCCTCCGACTCTCCCCTCCTCCCGGACTCTTCCCCCTCCTCCGCTCTTCCCCTCCGACTCTCCCCCTCCCGGACTCTCCCCCTCCCAGACTCTTCCCCTCCTCCCAGACTCTTCCCCTCCTCCGACTTTCCCCTCTCCCGGACTCTTCCTCCTCCCGGACTCTTCCCCTCCCGACTCTTCCCCTCCTCCCGGACTCTTCCCCCTCCTCCCGGACTCTTCCCCTCCTCCCGGACTCTTCCCCTCCTCCCGGACTCTTCCCCCTCCTCCCGGACTCTTCCCCCCTCCTTCCCCCCTCCCGACTCTTCCCCTCCTCCGACTCTTCCTCCTCCGGACTCTTCCCCTCCTCCCACCCCCCCACCCCCCACTTCCTCTCCGACTCTTCCCCCTCCTCCGCTCTTCCTCCTCCACTCTTCCCTCCTCGACTCTTCCCCTCCTCCCGACTCTTCCCCTCCTCTCGACTCTTCCCCCCTCCCGACTCTTCCTCATCTTCCCCTCCTCCCGCTCTTCCCTCCTCCGGACTCTTCCCCTCCTCCGACTCTTCCCCTCCTCCGACTCTTCCCTCCTCCCGACTCTTCCCCTCCTCCGACTCTTCCCCTCCTCCCAGACTCTTCCCCTCCTCCCGACTCTTCCCCCTCCTCCCGACTCTTCCCCCCTCCTCCCGCTCTTCCCCTCCTGCTCTCCCTCCATCTTCCCCCTCCCTCCCTGACTCTTCTCCCGCTCCCCCCCCCCGACTCCCCCTCGTTCCTCTCTCCTCCCCTCCCCCCCCACTCTCCCTCTCCGGACTCTTCCCCCCTCTCCCGACTCTTCCCCTCCTCCCAGACTCTTCCCCTCCTCCCGACTCTTCCCCTCCTCCCGACTCTTCCCCTCCTCCCGACTCTTCCCCTCCCCTCCCGGACTCTTCCCCCCTCCTCCCGGACTCTTCCCCCCTCCTCCCAGACTCTTCCCCCTCCTCCCAGACTCTTCCCCCTCCTCCCAGACTCTTCCCCTCCTCCCGACTCTTCCCCCTCCGGACTCTTCCCCTCCTCCCGACTCTTCCCCTCCTCCCGGACTCTTCCCCTCCTCCCGGACTCTTCCCCTCCTCCCGGACTCTTCCCTCCTCCCGGACTCTTCCCCTCCTCGGACTCTTCCCTCCTCCCGGACTCCCCCCCTCCTCCCGGACTCTTCCCCTCCTCCGGACTCTTCCCCTCCTCCCGGACTCTTCCCCCTCCTCCCGGACTCTTCCCCCTCCTCCCGGACTCTTCCCCTCCTCCCGGACTTCCCCCCTCCTCCCGGACCTTCCCCCTCCTCCCGGACTCTTCCCTCCTCCCGGACTCTTCCCCTCCGACTCTTCCCTCCCGACTCTTCCCCTCCTCCCGGACTCTTCCCCTCCTCCCGGACTCTTCCCTCTCCCGACTCTTCCCCCCTCCTCATCGTGCACTCTTCAGCCCGTCTGCTATATTGTATACTAATATCACTTTCCGTTCCTAGAGCCAACAATATCTTACTGGTTTCCGTTTTGATTTATACCAGATGACTTCAGACGCTTTTGTCCGTCGTATATCTCCATACCATCACCACGCCACCACCGACCACCCGCGACTACGACCACCCGGCCACCGACCGACCACCACTACCACGACCACCACGACCACCACGGCTACGACTACCACGACTACATGCAGCCACAAACCTTACGACCACTACGACTACGACTACCCGACCATGACCGCAGCCACCACGACCACCACAACCATGACCACCACAACCACGACCACCACAACCACGACCACCACGACCGTCACCACCACTGCCGCATCATTCAATAACCCTTCTTTATTGTCTCTTCCTGTTGTTTTCTTTTCTACTTTTTTTTGGGTCAATTCATTCAGGATCGAGAAGTTGATGGTGAGGCAAGAGGAGATAGGGGCGGGTCGGTGAACACAGAGACGAACCTCAAACTCTGACCCTGGATAGAACTCCTTTTTTGTCACACTAAAAGTTACGATTTGGTTTGGTTATGGTTAGGTTAGGTTATGGTTATGGTTATGGTTAGGTTATAGTTAGGTTTGGTTAGGTTTGGTTTGGTTTGGTTATGGTTAGGTTAGGTTAGGTTAGGTTATGGTTAGGTTAGGTTATGGTTAGGTTTGGTTAGGTTTGGTTTGGTTAGGTTATGGTTAGGTTAGGTTATGGTTAGGTTAGGTTATGGTTAGGTTAGGTTTTAATTCATCATGTTGTTGACACTTCTTCTCACCTTGAGCCCGGAGAGTTTTTCCCGTGATTATAGAGTCAGTGAGTATTATTATACCTGGTAATTATATACGAAGTGTAAATTACATTGTGTGTGTGTGTGTGTGTGTGTGTGTGTGTGTGTGTGTCCATACTGTTCTTATCTCGTTCACACTGCTAATTTCTTCTTTTCCTGATCATTTTAGTTCCCTTAATCCATGTATGGTAAGACATTTTCTCTATTATCTAGTTTCTTTTCATGGAATATTTACTGATGTTTTATTCTTTATGTTGACTTATATATTTATGTTGTCTATCCCTCTAATATTACATGTCAGCAGGGCAAGAGATCACGGAGTCTTAGAGTGAGTTAACCAAGTGAGATGTTGATTAATGTGTTTGTGGTGGTGTGAGGTGGTTGCCGAAGTGTCCTGATTCTGTTTCTATACACAAGTTTACCATCAACACACAATGCAAATCCCTAAAGTTTAGTTCTCCATTATATAAAAAACTAAACCTCATGAAAGTCAAAACTGTCCAATAAATAGTGAACCTTGAGACCCAGCTGGGGAAGTTTCCTATTGATGGTGTAAGACTGCCAGTTTTACCCTTAACAATCCATACAGCCAGACTATATTATTTCCCCCACTGGTAAATAGGTTCTTGAAATACGAGTAAGTCTATACACTTCCACATGGACTTAACAGCCTCGTTAGGTACAGAATACTGACCCATTTTTCAAGTATTTATAATTTTGTGAAGTTTTTCTTAATTGTCGTTTTAAACTCTCGACTTACTCATCCCTGAAAGGCTCTAACTTCACCAAGGTAGTCAGAAGGAAAATATTGTGCTGAAAATGAGGGAATATTGTTTCTAAATAACAACAGTTCTTTAAAATTAACAACAAATAAGTAAATTAATCAGGTCAAACTGATTGACGAATATATTGTAAATGATGTAGTTATCCAGTACCTTTATTTAGTCTTTTACCTCAATTCTATGGAAATAAATCTGTTACCACCAGAAAGAGGATCATGTTTATTTACATTTGTACACCTTCCTACTTATATACCGTGTTTAAACCACTCCATTACCTTACTGTTATCGGTGTATGAACCAAGCAACTCACGTAATAAATTCACTCATATTATTCTCTTGGACCTGAGTTTTTACTTAACGAATTTTATCATCATGTTTACTTTTATGCGATTGTTGCCATTAATCGTTATAGTCGTGCTGTTGCCGTTAATCATACATGAGGCGATTGTTGCCATTAATCGTTATAGTCGTACTGTTGCCGTTAATCATACATGAGGCGATTGTTGCCATTAATCGTTATCGTCGTACTGTTGCCGTTAATCATACATAAGGCGATTGTTGCCATTAATCGTTATAGTCGTGCTGTTGCCGTTAATCATACATGAGGCGATTGTTGCCATTAATCGTTATCGTCGTACTGTTGCCGTTAATCATACATGAGGCGATTGTTGCCATTAATCGTTATCGTCGTACTGTTGCCGTTAATCATACATGAGGCGATTGTTGCCATTAATCGTTATAGTCGTGCTGTTGCCGTTAATCATACATGAGGCGATTGTTGCCATTAATCGTTATAGTCGTACTGTTGCCGTTAATCATACATAAGGCGATTGTTGCCATTAATCGTTATCGTCGTACTGTTGCCGTTAATCATACATAAGGCTGCTACATTCGAAACTAATTTGCCTCTTGTATTCTGATACTCTAATGGCTACTCCTATCACTATAGCTCTCTGCTCTCGTAAACAAGGTATTAACACACACCTTCATCGTCCATCAGCAGTAACGTTGGCCGATACTCACATTAATATCCTTCCAATATCTTTTTCGATGAGTATTCGTTCGACTCACACTGCTCCGTTGACTGTGTGTGTTGGTGGGAGGGTCGGCGTAGTGACCTGTCGTCCAGGAAGGGTACAACAGACTATGCACCCTTCACCGCCAGTGTACCACGAACTTCTGAACGGAACTGTACCTCCCTCACCCATCCTGACAGGTAGGGAAAGGTACCATTTGTCAAACGCCGACTGAAGGTACAGTACTAAGAACCACCGAATGGAAAGGGTGTGGATTCCCCTTGCTATCTCCCCACTCCCACTCCCCCATCATCATCTCACCCCTACCTCACCCATCCTGGGAGTTGGGGACTGGTACCATCCGTCAGGCAACAACGATTAATATGCTTGTCACAAACATCTGGCAAGTATATCCTGTGTCGTTGGGATCACCTACAACACTCAATTGCTGGAAAGCACCAGTTATTCTTTCATCTGCATTGTAAAATAGCTTAAACCATGTTGCTTTGCTCTTACCAGATAATCTCCCTGTGGTGCACATCCTGTGAAGGCATGAAACCCCATTTGTGCTGGAGACGTGTCTGGCCCTAGAACTCGAAACATGGGTAACACTTCATGTTTTCGAGATTCCATGGAAATGTGAACATTTAGAATAATCTTTGGTCAATGTGCAATGAGGAGAACCAACACGTCTGTGTCAGGAGTGAACACACAGATTACCTCGGCCTCTGGACTTTTCACACTAGTATTTCCTGAGGGCGTAGGCAGCTACCAAACAGGGAGGTACTGGGAAGATATTGGAAGCATAATGTGTTGTCTAATGGTAGACCCTGCTGCCATATGTGACCAAGTCCCAGGTTGATAATCTGACTTTCTGCCTCATTTACACACAGTTGCAGGGTCTCAATTGTTTCTCTTACCGTTGACAACACAACATACATATATTGTTTCTCACTCTTGATCTTTTTTTATTTTATTTCTTTATGGTTCTTTATTATTATTATTATTATTATTATTATTATTATTATTATTATTATTATTATTATTATTATTATTATTATTATTACTATTATTATCATTATCATCATCATCATCATCATCATCATCATCATCATCATCATCATCATCATCTGGCCCCCCAGGCCCCGATGTGGGTCAGTGACCTGTGCCCGGGTGGGGTTTTTCCAGCTGCTGATACGGAGAGCCTTGTCATTGGCTTTGTTGTTTCTGATGAAAGAACTTTCAGCTTGCTAACGCCAGATACTTACTGTGTGTGTTGCCGCCATGTTTGTGTTGCTTGTGTAATTTAAATATGTGTTTACTCTCGAGAGAGGTTTTCTTGACCGTTCCTCTGTGGCATTTGTGTTAAAGTTTCCATTGACATCTGAATAGCATGGATATATTTTCTCCCTTTGCTGTTTTTTTTTCTTCTTTTTTTTGCTGTTTTGTTTTCCTGCTTTATTTGCCTTGTTTGAGTGTTTGTTTTATCTCTTTTTTATTTGGAATTGTTTTGTTTTTCTTTTGTTTTGCTTTGAGGTAAATTGAACGTTTTCCTGTGGAGATAATTCTTGTCTGTGGGAGGTCCTTGTTGAGTGCGTAGAGGTCCTTGTTGAGTACATAGAGGTCCTTGTTGAGTGCGTGGCGGTCCTTGTTGAGTGCGTGGCGGTCCTTGTTGAGTGCGTGGCGGTCCTTGTTGAGTGCGTGGCGGTCCTTGTTGAGTGCGTGGCGGTCCGGTCCTTGTTGAGTGCGTGGCGGTCCTTGTTGAGTGCGTGGCGGTCCTTGTTGAGTGCGTGGCGGTCCTTGTTGAGTGCGTGGCGGTCCTTGTTGAGTGCGTGGCGGTCCTTGTTGAGTGCGTGTCGGTCCTTGTTGAGGGCGTAGAGGTCCTTGTTGAGTGCGTAGCGGTCCTTGTTGAGTGCGTGGCGGTCCTTGTTGAGTGCGTGTGGAGGTCCTTGTTGAGTGCGTGGAGGTGCGTGGCCTAAATTCAGTCATAATTTTCCCTGTATTAACTAATTATTTTCTGACCGTAATATAATAGTACTTGTGTTTGTCTGTGAATGAATTTATATCAAAACCTAACATCATTGGCTCTACATAACAGTGGTGAACGGGTCAACTAATGAAGGTGTCTCTTTATTGGTGCGTAGCTTCACACTTTTTCCGAGGTTGAAGTTAATGGTGGGGGGGGCCGTGTGGTGGTGGAGACCCATTGTTTATAGACTATTAGCACTTGTTTGTGTGTTGGCTCGTTAGCTGGCGGCGGTTATGGCTTCCTGAAATTACACAGCGCCTCTGAATGGTCCAGATTATTGTCTTCTCCCGGGTAAGATTGTGTGGCAACTGGTCCCACCCCTTTGTGTGTTCTCGTAGGTCTTGTAATAGTGAGACGTTTTATTGTGGGCGTCAGTCGATTCCTCACTAGTGGCAAAAACCAACAATAATGGAGAATTTATCTTGATTTTAATAGTATCTAATTCTGTTTAAAACAAAAGTCATGCGAGAAGGAAAATAAGGAATGAAACATAGACGATAATTCGTGAAATGATGGAATGAAGGAGACGGGAAGAGATTAGCTTTATTACTAACCAAATTTAATTGGTTTTGTGTTACCCATTAGAAGACTCGTCTTGTTTGGTAATCAATATTCCTGTGACGCCACATCTGTTTTGTTTAATAATAGACGATGCTCAGTCCTTTGAGTAAGATCACTCAATTACTTTGAGTACAATTAGTTAATTTTTAGGTTAAGATGACGAGCAGTTGCGTACAATGACTGACTCCATACAGAACGATGCCTTAGCATTTTGAATACATTGAATAAATTCTATGAGTACAATAACACTGCATTCAGGGAGTAGAATTATGGTACTCAGGAGTCAAAGTATTTTACTAATTTCTGTAATATCAACATTTTCCTTAACTGAAACCCATTTTTTTATACTCTTATTTTATAATCATAATTTTTTAGCGAATTTAGTCTCAATAAAAGCGGCATTTTTGGAAGAAATTAAATATAGAAACATCATATGAGATGCTTCTGTCAGACGCCTCCTCACACACCTCTCTACCCCCTCCCACACACCCCTCTACCCCCTCCCACACACCCCTCTACCCCTCCCACCCCTCTACCCTCCCCTACACCCCTCTACCCCTCCCCACCCCCCCTCTTTTGTTCCCCCCCCACCACACACCCTCTCCCACACACCCTCACACACCATTCTACCCCTCCCACACCTCTACCCCTCCCACACACCCCTCTACACCCCTCTACCCCCTCCCACACACCCTCTACCCCTCCCACACCCTCTACCCACCTCCCACACCCCCAGGCACGCTTGACGCGTAAACCCATCTCCAGCAGTTTTATCAGCACGGCTGACTGGACAGTCTCCAAAACCATTACTGGCTCAGTCGACACTCTCCCGTCCTAGTGTCTGCTATATGACAACAACCTCACTGACACTAATCTCCAACACCACCACTACTGACACTATCTCAACACCACCATACTGACCTATCTCCAGCACTACCACTACTGACACTATCTCCAACACCACCACTACTGACACTATCTCCAACACCACCACTACTGACACTATCTCCAACACCACCACTACTGACACTATCTCCAACACCACCACTACTGACACTATCTCCAACACTACCACTACTGACACTATCTCCAACACCACCTACTGACTATCTCCCAACACCACTACTGACACTATCTCCAACACCACCACTACTGACACTATCTCCAACACCACCTGCACTATCTCCAACACCACCACTACTGACACTATCTCCAACACCACCACTACTGACACTATCTCCAACACTACCACTACTGACACTATCTCAACACCACCACTACTGACACTATCTCCAACACTACCACTACTGACACTATCTCCAACACCACCACTACTGACACTATCTCCAACACTACCCACTACTGACACTATCTCCAACACCACCACTACTGACACTATCTCCAACACTACCACTACTGACACTATCTCAACACCACCTACTGACACTATCTCCAACACCACCACTACTGACACTATCTCCAACACCACCACACACCTATCTCCCCTACACTACTGACACTATCTCCAACACCACCACTACTGACACTATCTCCAACACCACCACTACTGACCTATCTCCAACACCACCACTACTGACACTATCTCCAACACTACCACTACTGACACTATCTCCAACACCACCACTACTGACACTATCTCAACACCACCACTACTGACACTATCTCCAACACCACCACTACTGACACTATCTCCAACACTACCACTACTGACACTATCTCCAACACCACCACTACTGACACTATCTCCAACACCACCACTACACCTATCTCCAACACCACCACTGCACTATCTCCAACACCACCACTACTGACCTATCTCCCAACATACTACTGACACTATCTCCAACACCACCACTACTGACACTATCTCCAACACTCCACTACTGACACTATCTCCAACACTACCACTACTGACACTATCTCCAACACCACCACTACTGACACTATCTCCAACACCACCACTACTGACACTATCTCCAACACCACCACTACTGACTATCTCAACACTACCTACTGACACTATCTCCAACACCACCACTACTGACACTATCTCAACACTACCACTACTGACCTATCTCAACACCACCACTACTGACACTATCTCAACACCACCACTGACACTATCTCCAACACCACCACTACTGACACTATCTCCAACCACCACTACTGACACTATCTCCAACACCACCACTACTGACACTATCTCCAACACCACCACTACTGACACTATCTCCAACACCACCACTACTGACACTATCTCCAACACTACTACTGACACTATCTCCAACACCACCACTACTGACACTATCTCCAACACCACCACTACTGACACTATCTCCAACACTACCACTACTGACACTATCTCCAACACCACCACTACTGACACTATCTCCAACACTACCACTACTGACACTATCTCCAACACCACCACTACTGACACTATCTCCAACACCACCACTACTGACACTATCTCCAACACTACCACTACTGACACTATCTCCAACACCACCACTACTGACACTATCTCCAACACTACCACTACTGACACTATCTCCAACACTACCACTACTGACACTATCTCCAACACCACCACTACTGACACTATTCTCCAACACTACCACTACTGACACTATCTCCAACACCACCACTACTGACACTATCTCCAACACTACCACCACGACACCATCTCCAAACACCACACCACTACTGAAACTATCTCCAACACTACTCACTACTAGACACTATCTCCAACACTAACACTACTGACTATCTCCAACACCACCACTACTGACACTATCTCCAACACTACCACTACTGACACACTATCTCCAACACCACCACACGTTTGACACTATCTCCAACACCACCACTACTGACACTATCTCCAACACTACCACTACTGACACTATCTCCAACACCACCACCACTACTGACACTATCTCCAACACCACCACTACTGACACTATCTCCAACACTACCACTACTGACACTATCTCCAACACCACCACTACTGACACTATCTCCAACACCACCACTACTGACACTATCTCCAACACCACCACTACTGACACTATCTCCAACACCACCACTACTGACACTATCTCCAACACTATCACTACTGACACTATCTCCAACTACAGTATTGACAAGATTGACTGGAGATCTTCCCCAGTAAAGTTAATGGCACATATTCCAGCACACATTAATAACAGACTCATCACCGTCTCTCTTACTGGCGCTCCTAATGGCGCTCTCTCCAACGCTCGACTTAAACCCAGCGTTTTTTACTCATATTGGCACTGTTAATGGCGCAATCCTCGGCACCATTACAAACATACTGGTGTTGGATTAACTCCAATGGTTTTATAGTTATTCTTATTGGCGCTGTTATTGGCATTGTGTCCAACACCATTAAGGAAGAGTTTTGGCGACACCGTTGCCAGCATCATGAAGATAGTGATGATGTTATAGTGCATTAATGGTCTTTGTAGTCCATGTTAGTACGTACACTAGCGTTTGTAATTAAGAGTCTTTAGAGAGAGAGAGAGAGAGAGAGAGAGAGAGAGAGAGAGAGAGAGAGAGAGAGAGAGAGATCATCAGCTTCAGTAGGTACAGACGTTAGCCCCCTCCAAGACATCAGCGGTGCATAGATTGTGTCATAAATATTTTATGTGTCGTCTCGCGGCCACTGGTCTAGTCTGTTGGTGGCGTTCTTTACCTAGGTGACGCGGCGTTATGAGAGAGAGAGAGAGAGAGAGAGAGAGAGAGAGAGAGAGAGAGAGCATAAATAATAATAACACCATTAATTAAGATAAACATTATACCATATATGTTGAGTGACTACTGAAGATATCACGACACCAAATAATTAACAATCAAAAGATACTATTATGGTCGTTTAACTCACGTGTGTCATCAACGTTGGAATTAGTTTAAAATAACACCAAGATAAAAATATAGCGGTATTAATATATTGAGCTGGGAACTATGCATCTCATAACGACCCCTGAAATAGCCTAATGAGAGCCAGAACACTGAGAGGTGAGAGTAACTCGGGGCACAGTGTAGGTTAGGCCAAGGGTCACCTGGGCAGGTAAGGGAACCTAACCTAACTCAATCAAACTGAACCTAACCAATTCAACCCAACCCAACTGACCTATCCTAACCCAATTAAACCTAACCTAACCCAACCTAACCTAACCAAACCAACTTCAACTGTTAGATAGGGTGGAATCAAAGGCATGTCGTCTTATTAACTCTCCTCCTTTAGTTGATAATCTCACTTCCCTTTCTCTTCGCCGCAATGTTGCTTCACTATAATAACCCGTTATAGTACCTCCTTCTTTCCTCACACAGCCAAACTGAGGAATGCTCTGCC